TTATATAGTGTTTATTGTTCTCTTAATACTCTTAATCTCTTTTCGCTCTATTCATCTTTTTATTTTTCTCTGTCTCTTCCTCTCTTACCATTCTCCCTGTCAGCATGATGTTGCAGTAACTATATACGTCCGAAATGGCTTACTCATCCTCAGAAGACCTCTAATGGGTTATGTGAGAGTAGCGGGGTTGTAATAGGTGTGGGTAGTAGGGGGGTAGTCGTATTTGTATATTATAAGTGTTGGGGGGAATTCATTAGGGTTTATACTATGTTTGTTTATCTCTTTTATTTTAGTGTTTTTTTTGCTCTATCGTGGTTCGTCTATTGGTGTCCGATTTTATAATATAATTCTTTTTTTATTAGGGTTCAGGAGGAACTCTCATATATACTAAACGGTGTGTATAGAATGCGCTAATAATAGGGTGGTTGTATGAGAGTGGATGGTGAGATGGAGGATTAGGATGAGAGGGAGAGAGAGAGATGGATGATTTGAGAGATGAGGGATGCGGAGGAGGAGAGTAAGTGGAGAGGAATTGAGTGAGAGTGGTCGAGATGTCGATATGGAGGATAGAATAAGTATTTCTTATTACTTGCTTTTGGAGAGTCTTTCGATGTTCTTTCATCTTTCTGTTTGTCATGTTTTTATTCTATTCATCTTTCTCTTTTTATTAATCTATAGTTTCCTTATATATTGCTTGATCTCTTTGATAGAGATGCTTTCTGTAGGGTATGGATGGGTGGATGTGATTCGGAGACGGAGGACAGAGAGTAGTAGAAGATGAGAATACGATACGGAGATGATGAGCAGAAGAGGAGTCAGAATTTATGACGAGGAGGATCGATGAGAGAGCATAGTTGGAGAGGAGATGCAGATGAATGAAGATAGAGAGGAGATGATAGATTGAAGGTATGACAGGTAGAGGGAGCTACGAAGGGGGTACGAATGGCGATGAGGGGAAGAGGTTGGAGTAACCGCCCGGGCGAGAGAAAAGAGAAAAAAGATGAAGCGGAAAGAGAAGAAAGACAGAGATATAGGAATACGACTCCTCGACTAAGGGAACGACAGCACAGAATAAGGAGGAAGAGAAGGAGGAAATGAACAAAACGCAAAGTAAACCGATCAGAACAAAGAGAGAACATGCGAAAAGATACGTATACAATCTTACGAAGAATATATATAGAATGATATCATATTCTTCCTATCCTTCTAGCCCTGGCAAAACAAAAGAGATTTTTTTCGATAACGAAAGATATAAAGCAAAGAAAAAAAAAAAGCGAGAGCCACATAGGAAGTGACGATTACCCGCGTCTATTCTCCATCTCCCCGTTTGGGCCATGTTTAATGATTTACGCCTTCCCCCCTCCCCTACCCCCCTTCCCTTCCCCCCGCATCCCTCTCCTCCCTCCCTCCCCCCCTCGACGCCCTATTACTTCTTACGTGGATGCGTAAATACCGTATGCCACTGCCACCTTACCACTACCCGCCCGCCTGTATGCCTGTATGCCTGTATGCCCGGCCTGTAGTAGCCTAAACCTAAAACCGACAAGCTGGGCATAATAAAACTGATTGAATTTTGATGGCGGAGAGGAGGGGGTATATTTTACGCTCTTGGAGTTTGTTTGTTTGTCTTCTTTTTTCTTTCTTTCTTCGCGGTTTCTCTTTGTTTGTGTCCTTGTTCGGTAGTGTTTTTATTCTATGCGATTATTGGATACTCTCGCTATGCGTATTGTTGTCGTTATTACCGTTATTATGGAGTTTATTGCAAGTTATTTCTAATTATCACCATCACTACGACCATAATTATCAATATCATTCTTCATAGGTATCCTTATCATCAATTTTTTCTATCATGTGATATGAATACCATCACTTTCATTATAATCACCATCACCCATGTTTCATTTTCCTCCCCACTTCCTCTATTTATTCCTATTATTATCACTCCTATTTTCTTTCAAACGGAGAAGGCAAAGGTCAAAGTTCAAGGTTCAACAACAGACTGCTGGCCCGTGTTATTCCTTGAAAAAAAAAAAAAAAAAAAAAATGTGAGTGAAAGATAAATTAGAAATAAATGGATGTATAAAGATTCAAATGATAAAAGAGTAACGTAAAAAAAGACGTATTTAACAACTCATAAAGGAAGAATGAATTTAGAAGAAAAAAAAAAAATCTTCCTTCTTTTCCCTTTCCTTTTCCTCTCAATTCCTCCTTGTTCTCCTTTTCCTTCTCTATCCTTTCCCCTCCTCATTATCGCTCTCCTCCTCTTACTCTTCCTTTCTCCTCTCTTATTCCGCTTCTCCTCCCTCTCTTCCTTCGATTCTTCCTCCTTCTTACTTCGTATTTTCTCTTTCTTTCTTTCTATTCCTCTTTTCCCCATTCTCCCCTTTCCTCTTTCTTTCATCTTCTTCTTACTTCTCCATCTCCTCTTACTCCCTTTTCATTTTCTATCTTTTGTATTCTTCCTGCTTTTCTTCTTCCTCTCCTCCTCCTTCTAAACTTTTTACCAAGGCCCCCCCCCCCTTTTTCCCCTCCCCTTCCCCACCCTTCCCTTTTCCTCTTCCAATTACTTCTTTTTTTTCTTCGTTGTTTTTTTTTCCATTCTTTCATTCTTCTTTTCTTTCTCCATCCTAGTCTTCCTCCTCGTTCTCCACCTCCTCGCCTCTCCTCGTATTTTTATTTTGCCTTTTCTTTTCTTCTTGCCTCCTCCTCCTTCTACCTTTAAGGATACTCAAACTCATCTTTCTCCTCTTCCTCTTCCTCTTCTTTCACCCCCTCAGCCTCCTCCTTCCACGCCCTCTTCACTCCTCTTCCTCGTTTTTCTATCAATTCCTCATCTCCTCTACTCTCTCCTCTCCTCCTCTACTCCTCCCCTCCTCCTCCTCCTACTCACTCCTCTCGCACCTTCGCCACACTCCACCACGCTCCACTCAGCCTCCACCTCAACTCCACCTCCCCTCGCACCTCCACCTCCCTACTCCTCCTCCTACTGCCTCCTTCCCCTTTAAAGGGATATACAACTCTCCCCGAAGCAGTGATCTTCCATTCATCCTGTCACATAAAAGTATGCAATAAATCTGGAACTTCTTAGGCGTTTTAAGAGGGGGAGAGAGGAGGAGGAAGGAGGAGGAGGAGGAGGAGGGGAGGAGGAGGAGGAGGAGGAGGAGGAGGAGGGGAAGGAGGGATGAAGAAAGGATGATAAGGACGGGGAGGAGGGAGATGAGGAGGGGATGAGGGGGAGGAAGAGGAGGAGAAAGGAGAGGAAGAGATAGGAGGAGGCACGTCAAGAGGAGGAGTTGGTGGAAGGAGTAGAAGTAAAGAATGGAGCGGAGAAGGAAAAATAGTAAAGAAAGTAGGAGGGGGAGTAGGAGGAGGGGAAGAGGGTGTAGGAGTTGTCCCGCCTTTGCCTGGGGTCGTGGGGTCCTTCCTGCTTCTGGGGTACGCGTCTTCCTTGGGGCAGCGCGGAAGGGTTGGCAGGAGGGGGTAGGAGGGGATAGGATGGGGTAGGAGGATAAAGATAAGGAAAAAGGGTAAAAAGGAGTAGGAGGAACGAAGGAGGAACGAAGGGGGGACGGGGGTAGGAGAAGGAGAAGAGGGATGAGCGTAAGGTTAAATGGCGGGGGACTGATAGAAGGGAGGAGGAGAGAAAAGGAGAGGAAAAGAGGAAGGACGTGGATTAGGATTAGGAAGAAGAGAAGAGAAGAAGAAAAATAGATAATAAAAAAGAAAG